GAATAAACGACGGAGTCAAAAATGAAAAACCCTCTGAGGAGCCGTGTTAAAGATTTCACCTGCTGACATCAGAGTGAGGCACTGGAGGGACGTTTCTGAACCGAAGAGAATCAGAAACGTCTGACGGCACCAGTTCCTTGGTTTCCTGGGACAATGAGCAGCGCTGGACAAGGAAAGATATTAAAATGTGTCCAGGGTGATAAATGATTGGAAGTGGGTCACCAGCTGTCAGCTCAGAGGGAAACACGGCTCCTCAGTTAACCTCTGGTGCGATTCCTCTTGTGCTGAGATAGACTGACAATAAATGTCCCGGCCCAGGAAGTTGTTATCTCTCTCTCTCTCTCTATATGTCGTCTCCACAGGTTAAAGGTCAAAGGTTCTTTACCGGTGATGTTTTAAAAGTCATAGAAGAAGAAGAAGATGACGACGACGATCGTGTGACTGAGCACATCATCTCCGGAGAAGTTTGGAGAACTGAGTTTCTGCTGGAAATTACACTTCAATATTTAAGCAGTGTTTCCTCCTCGGTGGAAATGGAAACACGCATCAACACATTCAGATTGTTTTTACGGAGTTTTGAGTAAATTTTAAGTGACAGTTGAGTAAAACACAAATCAGAATATTGAGCACGTGAACAGATCTGTTCAAAATCATCTTTCAATCAACTTTTCTAAAAACTAATTCAATTTAATAAAACTGTGAGTTACTTTAGTTTTTTTTTCTTTGGACACTGATATTTATGTTTTTTTCTTGGTGTGTACAATGTGCACGTGAGTTTTTTCCATACGCACGCGCTCGTGCACTTCTAGACCTCAGCATGCCTGCGTATCAGACACTGTGCGCGTGCATCCATGAATGCACGCACGTGTAAGTGATTACTGGGTTCCCAATGATTTGTGCACGTGTATCTGCTTGTGCGTGATTGTCACTTCGTGTGATGCATGTGTGTGTGTGTGCGCGTGCATGACACACTGACCTGTGCGTCCGGCTCTGAGTGTCCGGTCCTCGGTCAGCACGGAGCCCGACTCCCGGCGGTGGCGCTCTCGGATCCCGGTTCTCCTTGCTCTGTCTCGCGCGCACACCCGACACACACCGTGGGGACGGTCACGCGGCTCCCGGGTGCATGAGAGAAAAATAACAATAAGGATGAACACGTCGTTTCTGTTGAGGCAGCTGCGAGTTTAAATCCCCATCCTGGTCCGTGTCCCGGCGGAGCGCCCTCTCTGAGCAGCCGCGTCACCCTCTCCCTCGTCCTCCACGTTTCCCGGCGGCACGATGACAACAATCCCGCTCACGTGCACGACGCTGTCACTTTTGATGAGCGCGACCCGCCGGTAAATTCGGGCATGTGTCCCGTTAACGAAACGTCCTTAGATTCAGAGACAGTTTGTAACAATCTCCGGCTCCTCTGCCTGTGCGCTCTGGACACGGAGTGAACCGCTTTACGCACGGTGCGTAAATGGGGAGGAGGTTTTTTTTTTTCTACATAAGGGGGTGGAGGAGGAGGAAGAGGGGGAGGTATTGGGGAAAAGTGAGAGGAAATGATTAGTAAGAGAGGAAGTTGGACGGAGAGATGAAAGGAAAGAGAGAGGAGCTCATGAAGAGGAGGAAAGGAAATGAGGGGGGGGGGGGGCAATGGGGTGAAGAGCAGGAGGAGAGGAAGATCAGGATGGGGAGAGAAAAGGAGGATGATGGGAAGAGGAGAGAGTTGGTGTCTTCACTTCATACATAACATAAAATGTAACATAAAAACATAAAATTCTCTGAAAATACTATAGAGAGAGAGAGAGAGAGGTTCAAGTGAGTGGACTCTCTCCCCCTCTCCTCAGGTTTTACTTTCTTTATGAGGACCAAAGTCAGCTTAAAAGTCAAACTGAAATTTAATTTGTTTTTGTAAAATGATAGAATCTGTTTTTAACAATAGAGAGAAGAAAATGAATCATTATGAGCATCTGGGTCCGTGTCATTGAGAAGCTGATGTGGCTCAGTGCTCACAGCCGCACAGCAGCAACACACACACACACACACACACACACACACACACACACACACACACACAATGTATGATTTACAGAACGAGGCTCTAACACTCAAAGTCAACATGGAAGATCCTGCTTCTTACGACACGCAACATTTTCACACATGCAGACACAAACTTTCTCTCTCTCTCTCTCACACACACACACACACACACACACACACAGACACACACAAACAGACAGAGTGGATATGAAGCACCCTGATGTAAATTGTGACCCACAGCGAGCGGCTGGTGGATTCTCTTCACATCAGATCGTGTTCACAATGCATGAGGACACACTGCGGCTGCTGAGCAGGACTCGATATGAAGAACACTCATTTGCACGCCACATTCAAAACATCACCCTGACTGCATTTTTCCACCTCCGCAACATTTCCAGACTCCGCCCATCACTGACCCAATCCAGCACCGAAATCCTGGTTCACGCATTTGTCACATCACGCATCGATTACTGCAATGCCCTCCTCACTGGACTCCCCACCAAACTCATCAACAGACTGCAAATCATTCACAACTCGGCCGCCCGGATCATCACCGGCACCAAATCATCACCAGCACCAAATCATCAGACCACATCACCCCTGTTCTCATCCAACTCCACTGGCTCCCTGTACGACACCGCCTCCACTACAAAAACCTTCTCCTCACCTACAAAGCTCTCCACAACCTAGCCCCCACTTATCTCTGCGACCTCCTTCATGAAGACACTCCCTCTCGGACCCTCCGCTCTACCTCTGCTGGACTGCTAACTGTCCCCAGGTCAAAACTCAGTACCATGGGTGCCAGAGCCTTCAGCTGCTCAGCACCCAGGCTCTGGAACTCCCTCCCCCCACACATAACACAGTCAGACTCCATCATTCAAGTCCCAACTCAAAACCCACCTGTTTAAACTGGCATACTCCCTATAACCTGACACTACAATTCACTTGTTGTTATGTTGATGTTTTCTTTTTTAACGTTGTTCATGAATATTTCATCTTTTATTTTCTTTGTAAGGTGACCCTGGGTGACGTGAAAGGCGCCTCCAAATAAAATTTATTATTATTATTATTAACACTGGTCTGATCCTTTGAACACCAGTTAACTGTTAACTGCTCATTGTTTGTGGAGGATATCCTGGAGGAGGTGAGGACCTCTCTGGATTCAGAGGAAAACAAAGTGTTTACGGGTTTGTTATCATGTGGAGTTTGGCCCCGGGCCGAGGGAGAGGAGCTGAGACGCTCCGAGGGTAAAAGAGTGAAGCAATAAAGATGTTCCCTGTTGTGAGTGTGAACGTGAGTCAGAGTCGACTCATCACACTGACTGACACTTTGACATTTTGTTGAACTGAGCATCGGTTAGAAGATGTTTCCTTCACACTCGTCTGCACTGATCAGTTCATCCGTCAAAGTCATGATTTATTTTCTCTCTCGTGTTCTGAACTGCCGACGTAAAGAATACGAGACATCGTACATTTCCTACACGTATGTGTTCCACAGCAGACTGAAGCAGAGTCCAACACAGAAGACTCAATCATCTTCAAGGACTGTAGATAAAGACAATTAGTTATATACAGTCACCAATCATCTTTATTTGCAGTCAAAGCCAGCTCTCTGATTGGACGATACTGGTAAAACGTTTCCATTTATCAAAAACTTAATGATGCTGCTCAGATGAATTATTATTGTTTATCTGTTTTCAGTCAGCGTGAGAAGGAGACATCGGTGTCACTTGTTTCCAACATGGTGGATCAGGACGTGCGTGGTAGCAGGGTAATAGATAATTAAAGAGCTGTTGAGTCGACCTCATTACAGAGCTCTCACCTCTGTTGTTCATCACTTGAGCTCAGCCACTGTGAGTCATTAATCATGGTTCTGTGCACTCACACAACACTGGCAGCTTTGACTCTTTTTATGAACACATTTTCTCACAGTTTTCATTTATGAAATTAACGAGCAGTCACCGAACCTCGAGCTCTGCCTGTTTCGTTACGATGTGGGTACGAACTTTATAACTTTCTGGCTTCTTCTTAAAAAACAATTTGTAAAAGGACAAAGGTTTATAATTTAGGTTGCACAAGCATTGATTTGGACACTTGCAGCTCAAAACATTTAATGTTTGGTGGAAGTTAGTTCGTAATTAGTATTTACATGATAATATTGTGATACTCAAGATATCTTAATTGTTATTTATAACTGCAACAGAGTACTTATACACAAATGTAATGTTACATTTACTAAAGTAAAATATCCGATAATGTTTCCTGTTTAATTAAAACAATGAGACGTTTAAAAATGTCTTCTTTGTAAACATGTGTCGCTATCATTTGACTTGGTTTATTAAAGTCACTCTTCAGTTTTTCTGAAACACACAATCATCTGCTCTGATGGAAGTTTGTTATTCACAGTGGCCTGGATACTTTCAGCTGCCCAACGTCTTGCCAGGAGACAGATTACGTTTGTCAGGACCACCGGCAGAGTATGAATAACACACACACACACACACACACACACACACACACACACACACACACACACAGTTATATAATACAGGTCATGCACAGTCTTACTTCCCTAAGAATTTTTTTGAATGCTTTAATATCCACCAGTCAGTTGAAGGGAATTTCATTTCCCACGGTTGTCACGATACTTTTCCTCAAACACACTAACAGGCACACGCTGAAAACTGCTGCTGAAAACTCTGTAATGTGTCCGTGGTCTATATTTGTCACAGCGCCGTGGATTCTTTTTCTCGTCAGCGTTTGAAGCGTGGCTGTAATGAGCCTGCCAGTCACAGCGTCTGGGATTAAAAACAGAAGACATAGCCACGATGGTGGGGGTGATGATGAAGGTGACAGCTGCCGGAGCGAGCTGAGAGGGAAGAAAGAGACACAGAGGGCGAGGAGAACACTCCTTTTTTCAAGAGCTACAACTTTTTTTTTTTTTTKTAAAGTCAAGTGATGAAGCAAAGTTGAGTGAAGAGGGTAAAAGTGTGAGCATCCTCTCTGCACAAAGCACAGGCTGTAAAATAACGAGATTCTGCTGCAGCTCTTCACTCTTCTTATCCCAATGAGACTCAGCTTCTCAGGCTTTGATCGGCTTTGATCAACTTTAATCAACATCAGACGTCACCAACTTCTACATTACGAATTCTTTGAGTTCTGGAATCATCACGTTTTTCTTCCTCGTTTAAATGAACGAAACTGACAAATTAAACGCGTCGAGGGTTTACATGGTTTAAAAGGAGCCCCTAGCATTTACTCATTGTACTTACTGGTATGTTTATCTTTTCTGGATTGAATATATATTCATGATCCTGTTTATGCAGGTTTATATACATATATATATAGAAATAGAAAGAGATAGAGAGAGAGATGTATATATATATTACTGGACGTTTCCACATGAGCTGCTGTATCATCACTGAACAGATGGAGAATGTTTGAGTTCAATTGTATCACTTCATTCATAATTCAGGCTGATGAGATGGATTTTATCTCACAACCAAACCTGCTCGATGTTTTTCCTCTTACACTTCGTGCGGCAGAATGATTTCTATTTTTCTTCCTCGAGCGCGAGCAGCGGGGGTTGAGTGAGAGCGGAGCAGCATCAGGCATCGTGCGTGTCAGCAGTAAATAAAGCATTATAATGTGTGAGACCTAAAGCTGGAATTATTTACATGAAGCTGAGAGCGAGCAGAGCTGCACGTTGTGTGTGTGAAAATGTTCCAGTGTGTTCATCACACAGAGTCAACTCAACTGTCACCAGGGTTAATAGGGTTTTACTCTTGTTGAGGACAGAGGATGTCGCAGCTTGTTAAACCCTGAGACACTGTGATTTGTGAATATGGGCTAAACGAATAAAATGTGATTAATTGATTGATGAGAAGCATCACGTGTCGTCAATGTCAGTAAAACAGTTTTGCCAAAGAAGAATTTAAAATTGGGATTTGAAATAACAAAAAAAATATAAAATGTAATTTACCTTCAAAGTAAAACATGAAGGCTGAAGCTCTGCCTGTCGTGTGTTGGCGTTCAACCACATCTGATGGAAGAATTAAAGCTCAGTTTCCACACACACACACACGTTTGTACTTCTATCTTAGTGAGGACACTCATTGACATAATACATCCCCGAGCCCCTTACCCTAACCTTAAACATCCAAACTAAATTCCCAATCCTAACCTTAACTAATTCTTACCCTAAAACCAAGTCTTAACCCTCAAACAGCCCATTGAAAAAGTGAGGACTGGTCAAAATGTCCCCACTCTGTAGGGTCTTTGCTTAAAATGGTCCTCACAAAGATGTAAGCATAGTAACACACACACACTTTATCAAGGCGTTACGTTGATATTGTTTTCTCAAGTGAAGCTTCTCAAAGGCTTCAGCAGATGATGAATGAAGCCTCCTACACCATCATGTCTCTGATTAAATAAAAACCTACCTTCAGTTTTCTGAAAGCAATAAACAAAATTATAAATC